GGATGGGTGCATTCTCATTTCTGTCTGCCTGTCTGTGTGTGTGTGGCCTACCGCTGCCCCAGTGGATGCACTAGGTGGCGGAGCTTTGAAGTGTCTCGGTGTGGTTGCGCTCAGCCCCCGGTCGATGTGTGGGGCGCAAATGGGGGTCTCGGGGTGGCCGCTGATCCTGGCTGACGGCGTGTACATGTCACTCAACGCCTAAAGAATGGAGGACAGTGGGATGGCCTTTTCTAGTGCATTGTCTGTCTTGCGTGGTACCTCAGGATGGTCGGGAGGCCGGCCCTGCACGTACTTGACCGGCATCCGGCACCTTGGTGGACGGGTGCAAGGATATTCTGGCCATGACAGTCAAGTACGCAGACGGACACCTGTCTGTACCACCAATCCATGTCACCCATGCATGGCTCGCTCATGTTGGTTGGATACATACAGATACGGCGAGAGTCGCGTGGGTGCCAGCTCGCCACACAACAAGATGACTCAGCGGATACTACAGCTGTCTACCATCAAGAAGCTCCGTGCACTCAACCGAAGCCAGGGCAAGACATCCAAACAGTAAGCAGGCTGACGGACGGACAGTAGTGACAAGAACGACACAAGCATCAAAACACTTACTTCTCTATGGATGACCAGGTCACCACCACACATACGTAGGGAGGGGGCGGACGAGCCGGACACTCCGCTGGCCCGCCTTCTGGATTTCCTCAACCGCATAGAGCGAGAGGAGAGCAACAAGACGACGGCTTTTCTAGAGGAGTTGGTGGCGACTGACCAGGCGGCAAAGGACAGCAAAGCCAAAGGGAGCGAAACCAAGGGCAAAAGGGGCAAAAAGAAACATACGGCACCGATCCTCGCCACTGCCGCGTGAGTGCATTCATGCACACAAAGATGCAGGCAGGGGCTTTTGCAGAAGCCTACAGGTTGGTTTGCTTGTGCGCGTCAGGTGTGTTGATAGCAGCGCTGGGGCTAAGGCTGAGGAGGCTGTGGCTGAGGAGGCTGTGGCTGAGGAGCGCTCTGACCAGGGGGTGGACGCCGGCGAGTCGACTGAGTACGCATGGACGTGCACGCACAACACAGATAGATGTGCATGTGCCGCTTCTGTGTGTCATTCATTGCAATCACAGTGTGGCCACTGGTGCCGTCAGCAGCGATACATCTGAGCAGCCGCCATCCGCCTCATCTGCCGACCCCCAACCGTAAGCAACCACTCTCGTTGCACACAGCTGAAACCGCCTCATTGCACTCTACTGTTTCTCACCCCTGTCTGTGTGACATCATCAGCTCGCCTGTTGATCGTCAGGAGAGCGATGGAGAGTTCTTACCCGTCGGCAGGCGCAAGAAACACAAGAGGAAAGACAAGGAGCATCAGCACCAACACCACCAACACCAGCCGCCGCCGCCACCCACACGGCAATACAAGGCGTTCAAGTAGGCCAACACGTACACATGAGTACTTGGCTGCTTCACGCGTCTATATGATGGATGTGCGTGATGTGATCTTCCTCCTTCCTTCTCTGTCTATCTAGTGTCTGTAGAAAGCCCCCCGCTGGCCGTGGGCTGGGCATGATCCCCATACTGACCAACCCACACCCACGCCCACACCCACACCGGTACACGCGTATGTACAGTACACTCAGGGGCATATGATATGCAAGCCAAGACCTGGCTGCCACCATGCCGTGTTGTGTCATCTGTATGTATCTTCTGTGTCTGTCAGCGGTCCGCCCCCTCTAGTTCCAACGGCAGCTGTGCCGCCGTCCATGGCCCTCTCTGCTGCACTGGGCTTCGCACCCCGACCACCCCATCCCCCTCTCCCTCCCTCCAACCCGACTGGACCACTCAGCGGCCCATCGACGGCCGCATCGACGAGCCGCAGTCACATGAGTGGGCCACCCCAGCCCCCACCTGAGTGCCATCGGCCGTCCCCCTTGGCCACCAGCAGCTCACACGCCGCCACCGCATCGGAGAGTGAGCATTTGGTGGATCAGCTATGTCGGCAGCTGGAGCAGACTCAGCGTGAGGCCCGGCAGCGGGACGTGCAGGCCAAGGAGACAGAGGAGACGCTGACACGTCAGCTGCAAGACGCCCGGCGCAAGTCAGCCAGCAATCGAAGACAGGCAGGGAGGGGTCACCAGCGGGGCGTCTCATGTCTCATTTGATGACCTCTATTACTTTTCAGGCTTGCCGAGATGACTGTCCAGCAGCAGCAGCAGCAGCAGCTGCAGCCATCAGCTAAGCAGCAAGAGGGAGAGGATCATGACGACTGCGACATCTGCTATGGCGAGCATGGCGTTGCGTCGATCATGTACGTCCCCTGCAGACACATGCGTGTGTGTCCCCACTGCTATGAGGACCGCAAGGCCGCCTGGCAGCGGGAGCTCAGCCGAGTGAAGGCGGAGAACGACCGCCGTCGCGAGGAGAAGGAGGCCGCGAGGAGACAGAACGAGAACCTCAGCCAGGACAAGCAGATCTCGCTGGTGAAGCTGCTGGACGAGCCCGAGTACACGTGCGAGCACTGCAAGGCCAAGGTGGAGTTCGCCGGTTTCGTGGACGATTGCATCAAGTGGGTGGCCAGACCGTTCAAATGACTGCTGTGACGGACGTAGTTATGCGATGGACCGAGATTGTGGGGGGAAAGGGTGTGGGGTGGGATCGGTGTTCATTCTGTAAAGTGGCGTTTCACTTCAACTGAGATAGAAATGTATGTATGTATGTATATATTATATGTATGAATCTAATCTGCCCTTGATGTATCAAGGCGAGGCGACACACGATGGACGGACGGACGGACGCGTGACGGGACGTGACGTGACGTGACCCGCTCCTGCGTGTGGATGGATGGACCGGGATTGGATGGATGGAAGTGCGGAATCTGCCGCTCATGTCTGCGTTTTGTTCGTTTTGTCTTCATGCGTGCGACCCGTGCGTCCATACGGGTGGGTGTCTTGCCCGCATTTATTCCATCCTTGTCTCCGTCCGCCCGTATCTCTTTCTCTCTTAATGTGTGCACGTGGTGACACAGCTGCTCGCTGCATGCGTTCGCGTACATCCAAAGGTTTTGTCGGATTCCCCCTGACTGAATGTTCCCACCGATACACACACACACATACATGCACGCTCACCATACGGACGCGCTCTCGACCCCTCTCTCTCTCTCTCTCTCTCTCTTTCTTTCCCCTCTCTCTCTCTCTCTCTCTCTCTCCCCCCTCCTTCGAGCTTGTGGGTCAGCTGGGGCTTCTCGTCACTCCTTCTCGTTCAAGTTTTGTCATCTGAATGGGAGACACACACACAAGACAAGTGCATCCATCATGTCATGCACGAACACAATACCCACCCACCCACCCGCCCACCATGCATACATGCATCATTCACTTACTTCGCGGCAGTTGTTCCGAAGTGTGTGGCCCATTGCCCGGCGCCCGGCAGGACAAAGTAGTTGCGTCCCGATTTCTTGGGGGTCGCGGTGCTGGCATGCAGCTCACCCTCGGTCCACTTGAAGTCATCAAAGGATTTGGGCGCCGTGAGTTTCTGATGCATATGGAGACACACACGCACGCACGCCAACAAGATTGGGTACACCATCTCAGCATATTACCACTCCTTTTCCTTTGGAAGACCAGCAGAACCGACCGCCTCCCTCGACGGGCCCGCCGGGCTTGCCGAACCTGTAGGCACCGCCCTTGCACTCCTTTGCCTCATCGGCTGAAGCTGCGCGTGTGCCCTCGCCGAGGCCGTCCCTGAGCTTCATCTCCGTGATGACGCAAGTCTCAGACGCCTTGCAAGTGCTCAATTTGTTGTCGTATTTCGTCGCGTAGTAATAGTACGACCCCTGTTCATCGCCGCTGAACTCGACTGACTGAACTGTATGTCCTTGTCCTTCTTTCTTTTCGGTCTTGGTGTGCTGGACCGCTGCGTTTTTCCCCATCACGGCATCCTGGGTGAATTGGACCATGCACGGCCCGGCACGTGTGTGAATGAGGGACGCAAGGCGTGGCGACAGCTGATGCGACACTTGATGCGACAGGCGGCCCGGGCCCGCGCATGCATGGGCCGCGGCGGAGAGAGAGACAAGAGGGATGACGAGGAATGTCATTATTGGGATGACTGCCAGTGGAGGCTCAGGAAAGGGCTGGAATGGGTGAAAGGCGAATAGGATAAAGTGCCGAAGAGACTGCACTGGAGGTCTCCCAGTGTTGGCCGCGGCCCAAGACGCCCCCAAGAAACCCCAATCGCATGCGTTTTTCCCTCGCAGCAAAAGGATCACATCAAGTGTGCGCTGGGCGACCGCCGTGCATCCATCGCGTGTCTGGGCGCATTTGTCGGCAATGCGATCGGATCATTCTTAGCTCGCACTTGAAGAAACTGCTTTCCTGGGGTTTTTTAGATAGCCAGCCTTTGTGTGTGCGCTGATATGGCGTCGCAGCAGTCATCGCGCTACGTCAAATACGCCGACGCGGAGGAGGATTCTGACTATGATGAGGATGACCATCCCTTCCCCACCATGGACGCATCATCCCCTTTCAGCGTACTCAACAGACAACCTGCACAGGCGGGGCGCCAGCTGCAGCCGCCGGAGTTGCAGCCCGCGCCATCACGGCACCGTGACACGATAGCGGAGATATTGCGTGGCAGCGGCGCGATGGCCATGGACGATGAGAATGATCCTGACGATGGTGCTGGTGGTGGCGGCTGTGTGGGTGAGGGAGGGGGCGGCATAGGGATAATGGATTCTCGGCAGCAGGTGCAGGCGGCGCTGGGTGCTGTCAGGGGAGATGGCAAAGGCGCCCATATGCATCACGGCCAGGTACATGCTACATCCATACCTACCTATGCACGCAACGCAGTGGAATGGACTGCAGTTCTCTCTGGAATGGTTCCTGTGTTACTGTGGATGGATGGATGGTCAGGTTGGCAGCAGCGGTATGATCTTGGCGGGGCCACCTGTCGTGTCATCGAGTAGGCCGGTCATGGTCGATGAGCCTCGCCGTGATCACCATCACCCTTTACACTTCACCGTCACCACCAAAGGGCCCGCTGCAGCTGCTGCTGCCAGGTCGACCAAACGAACCAAAATGGCCACACAACACCCCCACACATGTGCACATCTCTCGTGCTCCTGTGGTTCGGTGCAATGGGATGCAATGCCTGCAGGCCTGTGGAGGCATCTGAGGTGGATGAGGAGATAGAGGAGGCGCTAGAGGGGAGTGGTCTGGGGGATGGCATGATGGATGGCGGACGAGGGCGTGAGTACAGCCCGCCCGTTGGGGGTGGGGGTGGGGAAGGGTGCGAGAGGGAGCTGGACAGCAAGTCCACCTTCCTCAGGAGCCACGCACAACAGCGCAAATGGTATGTGTGTACAGAGGGGGCAGAAAGCGAAGGAAGGAAATGAGCGAGCTTCCTCTCTGTCGATGTCCTGTCAGGTTTGAGGACGGTGATAGGGACCCTTTGTCAATGTCCAACTCAGTGGCGTCCATCGGGGGCTGGCCAGACACCCCTCCCCTCGACGCCCGACACACACAACCCCCACCAGCCCCACCGGGGCCAGGCCCACCCCTCCCCCCCTCCCGCATAGACATCGACAGCAACAGTCCTGGGAGCCGGGTGCACAGGCGTGACGCGCAACTGCAGCCCGATAGCAGCATCAGTGAGGCGCTGCACCGCAGGTGGACAGTCGACTCAGAGGTGCCCGAGTCGCTCTCCCACTCTCACCACTCCCACTCCGTCCACAACGCGCCCAACAACACCAGTGGCAACACCGACACAGACCGGTTCGTCGAGGCCTTCTTGCACAAGGCCGAGGGCGGTGGCTCTCCCCCTCCCCCTCCCCCTCCCCCTCCCCATGGCCCAGCAGCATCGGCAGCGGACAAGTACGAGCCGTTAGAGATCACGGGAGCGTCGCTCGAGGCGGCCGGGTGGGCCAAACGATCTCAGAAAGAGAAGGAGAGTGGGGGAGAGGGTGGCGGTGGGGGTGGGGGTGGGGGGATGGGCGGCGGCGATGAGTTGAGGCCGCAGCGGCGGTTCTCCTTCCTCAAGAAGGGTGCGCGGATGAAGCGGACGGTCATCCCGCCGCCCGAGCCCAAGAGGCAACCCACTGGCAGACTCTTGCTCACCAGCTCGAGTACGATACGCACAACAAACACATCATCCACACGAGTCTCTGTCTCTGTATGTGTCTTTGTTCCTTCCCTCCCTCCCTCCTGTCTGCAGGCCCCGCACGCATGAAGTTGCTGCCCCCATCATCGCATAAGAGTGTCCCTGCTGCGCAGCCCACCGGTGCCAAGGCAGCACCACCGGCAGCCGAGTCGTTCGCATCTCGCATCGCCGCCGCATCGGCCACAGAAGACACCACCATCACCGAGACAGCGGCACGTGCAACCTACAGCTCCCTCCACATGCCACCCAAGACCACCACTACCACCACAAATGCCAGCAACGAGTTTGGCGACGACGTGCCGTGGGACACATCCCCGCTGAGAGGGCCCATGCCGGAGCCGACACACCCCATGGCAGCCCCGCCACAGATGGACCTGGACAGCGCGCCTGTGTCTGAGCTGATACAGCAGCGGTTCTTCAAGCAGACGGCAGCGGGGGAGAAGGAGAGAGGGAGGGAGGCTGCTTCTGGTGCTGGTGGCGGTGGTGCTGGTGAGAAAGGCGCTTCTAGTGGTGTTGTGAGTGTGAGTGACGACCCGCGGTTGAAGGAGTACTTTGAGAAGGTCCAGGAGATGCTGCCGCTGTGAGTCAGGGAGGGAGGGAGGGAGGGATACCAGGCGTGACGCCCAATGATTCGTTCACACGCTTTGTGGCACCCGTGTCAGGTTGGAGCGTCGCAACGCTGAGGTAGCGCGCGAGAGGGCCGAGAACATGCGGCTCAAAGAGCAGCACGAGGAGACCCTCAAGGATATAGAAAGAGAGAAGGGTATGTGAGCACACGCGGACCTCGCACGGCCACACACATGCACGACCAATTTCTCTCTCTCTTTCTCTCTGTCTGTCTGTCTGTCTTCAGCACGCAGTGAGCGTGAGATAGAGCAGATGCGTGAGGCGCTGCACAAGGAGCTCACCGAGGAGAGGAAACGTCTGATCAAGGAGAAGAAACGCATAGAGGGTGAGGACATACAGGACCACACAATGCCACCCGATATGTCACCATATGCAGTCACCCATGTCCATGTGTGTGTGGTGTAGGTGAGCGCGAGAAGCATCGCGTGTCGGTGGGGACGCACAACAAGGCCGCTGAACAGATCGCAAAACTCGAGACCCATGTCAAACAGCTGCAGGTATCCATCCATCCACACTCGTCCCCCCTACACACACGTGCGCCTCTCTGTTGTCGGCAGGAAGAATTAGAGAGGGAGAAGCGCACGGCCAAGATCAACCAGCAGAGGCTGCAGAGACAGGTCAGTCAGTCGCACGTATCGCACCACATCACACCCAGCCACATCCATCCATTTCTCTGTCGATCTGTGTGTGTCAGAACGAGGCGTTGGCCAAGGAGAACGCCAATCTGAAGGAGGAGGTCAAGGTCCTCGAGAAACTCACACTAGAGCAGGAGCGATCAGGTACAGCACCTAAGTCCCCTCAACCCATCAGCATCCATTTCTTGCCCCTTCCGTGTTGATTGCAGCCCAGCAGCAGCCCCCCATCAACACCAGGTCTCTCCGCGGCTCGGCGGCCAGCGTGCGCCTCCCCTCTGCCCCCGACCAGCAGCAGCAGCAGCTTGGCGGTCGGCGTGCGATGCGGTCCGTCACGCCCCCGCCCAATATGAGCAGCATGAGACTCACCAAAGGTCACTGAATCAGAGAGGGGGGGAGGGATGGCGCATACGTATGTTCTCTGTTGTGTGTTCTTTGTTGTCTCAGGGAGCTCGACCACCGTCGGCTCGTCCCGCGCCCCCACCCCTGCTGACCGTCGTGCGTCTCGGGGGTGGCCATCCAAGGACATCTCCACCGCCCACACGACCACGACAATCTCCCCACACAAGGCAGCAACAGCAACAGGAGCAAAGCAGCACACCACCACAGCCACCACAGCCCTCCCAGCCATCCCCCAGCAGAGGCCAAAGACCTCTGAGGGCACAGCTGGCAGCAGGAGGCCCACGAGAGATGAGATGGGGGAGGGGGAGGACTTCTGGGACTATGGCGAGATCGACGAGTGGTCCTGTGCGGGATCCGTCATGTCGCCCCAGCGCGACACCCGAATCAAGAAGGCACCACAGCAGCCACCGCCACCAGCACCCCCCCAGCAGCAGCAGAGGTTGTTGGTGAGAGAGGGAGTGGCGCCCGCACCAGGACCGCCCCAGTATGACCCCAACATGAAGGCCTCCCTGCCCACCTCCACCACTACTGGGGACCTGGCCCTGTCAGCGTCTCTCTACGGCTCCCGTCTCGTCACGTCTACCACAGACATCCAGCAGCAACACCAGCAGCAACACGAGAGGGAGAGGGAGAGGGAGAGGGAGAGGGGCAAGCCCACCCCACCGCTCAACCTCTCCAAGCTCATGGACCAGAAGCCAACACACCAGCCCCAGCAGCAGCAGCAGCGGGACGTCCCTCCAACCATCATCGCCACCACCACAGCACCGCCCAAGAACCAATCTGGGGGTCTCTCTGTGAGTGGTGGGGCTCCTGGGTCGCTGCCATTGCCAGTGGTGATAGGCGGCTACGAGCTGCAGCCGGGCCAGGAGGACTTCGCTGAGCTGATGCGCTTCCGGTTCGAGGAGGATTTCGACGCCATGCGGCGAAGGACGGAGCGCGCTCAGGCGGTCCTGCCCCAGCCGACGGGGGAGAAGCAGGCGGGCAACCGATGGGAACGGGTGTATGCCGATGATAGGAAAGAGGTGCACTACGCCAACGGGCTGAGGAAGATCATGGTAGGTGTGTTGGGGGGTGGCCGGGGGAGGGGGGAAATGTGTTTGTTCTCCTGATCGTGTTGTGTTGTGTTGTGTGTGCAGTGGCCTGACGGAGCGACGTCGGTCTTCTTCACCAACGGAGACAGGAAGGTCCTCAAAGGCGATGGCGCTGTGGTACGGACCCAATGCACACACATATACACAAAGTGGAGGAGGGATCAATCCATCCATCTGCCGTGTTTGTGTGTCTCTTATGACCTGTCTGTCTGTCTGTCTGACTGTCTGAATGGCTCAGTCGTATTATTACAAGGCCACCGATTCTTACCAGTGCACTCTGCCCTCACAGGAACAGTTCTTCAAGTACACCACCCACAGACAGACAGACAGAGACAGACATGTGCACTCTTGATGCCACTGTCAACAGGTTCCCCACAGGCCAGCTGGAGCGTCACTACCCGAGCGGCGCCAAGAGCATCGTCTTCAGCAACGGGACCCTGAAGCGCATCCACCACGACGGCAGCGAGGTGATCGAATACGTCACCAAACGCACCAACAACCAACACGCAGGATGATGTCGACGGACCAACGGAGGTCGGCGCATACAAGCCACTCACTCACTCAGTCGCTCACTCACGCATGCATGCATGCATGGCTGTGGGTGTTTGTGTGTGCAGGTCGGGGTCGCGATGCCGGGTGTGTGCAGACAGTGGGTGGGTGGTGGCTGTTGGGGTTTTGTAATGGTATATATGGGGCAAACGAATGTGCATGACGGACGAGTCATAGCGGCATGTGCGGTGTATGGGTTGGGGGTGGGCGGAGGGGCAGGTCAATCAATGGGTTGGAGCAGTCGGTTGGAGCAATCACCGCATTTCCATGAAGCAATTAGCCCAGCCCATCCTCTCTGTACACGCAGGCAAAACGAATCGCATACACAGACCATCGCCTCACAAACAGACTCAAATCAGCCATATGGGCCGACCTTTCATTGCTCAAAGTGACCGCAAGTTGGTGAAGAGCTCGATCTCCCCTTTTTGCGAGAGACACAGCACTTACGCGTCTGGCCCGCTTATACGGTCTACAGAGGTGATCCACCCATTTCCAGCGCCTTTCTGTCTCGCTCAGACTCTGAGTCGCTCAAAATAGCTCAAAATAGCTCAAAACGACTAAAAGGCGTCTGCTTTGTCATTCATTCAATCGGTTCTAGAATGGGTGCGTCAATCGGTCCTTGGATGGGTGCGGGAGCCCAAGGATGT